CTGAAAATCTTCATAATTATTAAAGGGAAAGATTGAGTGCAGAGACAGAAGGAACAGAAGTAGCATGTTTTAGGCTTTTGCCAAGTACTAGATATTGTACTAAGAACTTCATTTACATTGTCTAATTTAAATTTAAGCCTACAATATCTCTATGAAGTAAATGTGATGTTAATTTTTTGAAACATCTGATTTAGGGAAGAACTAGGAATAATCCACGACAAATATGGAGTCATATTTGCAAAATTAAAATGCTACTGTTGCTGAGAGTTCCACACCAAAGAACAGTTTTCAGTTGAATAAAAAGAGAAGTAGCTGAGGGAATCCACCACAGATTCAAAGAATATTATAAGAATTAATCCTTAAGAAATACTAAGGTGAAAAATTGTTCTACCAAAGGGTATTTTGTCAAACTCACATAAAGAGTCAGAATAGATATTAGCAAAGACAGGGAAATTAAAGGACTGTCATTAATTTATAAAGAGGAATGTTAATTAAAACCCAAAAGGAATCTGGGAAAAATTACTTCCGTTATTTATTTCAAGAAATCTTTTGAACTGCTAATGAGAACATTTGGATTATCGCAGGAATAATTGCTTAGTGTTTATTGTATCAAATTATGAATTTCTAAAGTTAAGGTGAAGGAGAGAGATTAGTCACAGATGAAAGAAAAAAATAATGTAGCAACACAGAAATAAGAAATTGGTAAATAAAATATAGGTTAAGCTTAGACTTGGGTAAATAGAAAGTAGGATAAAGCATAGGCACTTAAAAAAAAACACCTAGGGTTCAACAGTTACAATGGCATCTGGAGATTTGCCCCTTATGGCAAATCTTGCTTTCCCATTATTACATCTAGGGATTCAGAAAACGGATGCTTGAAGAAAGAAGAGGAGGGAGAAGAGGAAGAAGAAGGCATTATTACTGAGAAGCTGGACTTCTCTACAGAATCCGGGAAGGTTTTTTTTTTTTTTCCATGGACTATAAGGCCAAGAAAATGTTAAGAAAGCACAATAGATGGACCATGCTCACCATATTGCCAGTGATCTCCTGCAAACGGATCTTCGGTTCACAAGAGAAAAGTTTATGCCAACCACAAATCCCGGCCAGTATCACTCTCATGGCCTCAAAACTCATCAGGCACACAACAGTTATTTATTCCTCCCTCTGATCTCTCTCCACTGCATTCATTTGTTACTGCAAACTGCCAGAACAGAACTCAGCAGAAAGGATAGAGAAACGAATGAGCTTGGGTCACTTCTCATATCTACGGCATTCTTGGTAGAGGTTGAGGTAGAGAGGAGATGGGGCATCTGTTTCTTCTTGAGTTTTGCTCATTTTCATGTACTCCAGTTGGCACTGTAAGAGTTGGGTAGACGGAAGGGAAGACCCTAGATGAAAGCCAGGGGAGAGTGACAGCTTCGCTGGGACCTGTGGACAACCGGCTGGCTCTGTGCTCAGGAGGAAGTCTCACAGAGCACAAGGGGTCATAAAATGGGGCCACGAGCCATTCACACACACAGACGGTTGACACACATTGGCCTGGATGGATTTTCCTTCACCTCAGAGTGAATAAATAGATTAAGAATACTTAAATCTAAAATAAAGATAAGAACAAGCTGAAGTAATGAGACATAATGGGCTTATAGGATAATTCTTTTACAAAACCAGAAGGAGTTTCTTTCAAAGAAAACTGGCATTTTTCAAGTGTACAAAGAAATATCGGCTCTCTGAAACAGAATTGGAATACAATCAAGAGAGAATGGGATGGGATAAAAAAGACAAAGTGAGGAAATAAGAAGATGGGTAAGAAAAGGAAAAGTCACAAGGAAATTAAAAATGCAATTGCAGAATTAAAACCATTAATGGAGGAAGAAAAGACAGATTTAGCTTTACAAACATGGAATCAGTATGTGAATGCAACTGAGAGGCTGTGAATAATGTTTAGGAAAAGAGTAATGCATGAAAGAAGTGAGGAAGTGGAATGATAGGATGGAAATTGGGAAGAATTTTTAAGAATTGTAGGTACACCATTAAAACACATCAGAATAAGTGAAACAGACAAGTGATTAATAAATTGAAGAAAATTTCCATGAAAGAGAGGCAATGTTAACCTTTCTGGATTTTGGCTCTGAGTGGACCTCTCTGACATGCCACCTTCCTTCAGACCTGTTAAACTCACCTGCACACATATTAATGCAATTTACTATCTATCTAACTATAGCATCATAGGGTATTTAAGATAGAGAATATTTCATTCTTTGATCACTCCAAAAATCTCTTCCATAAAAATATTTGCAATGCAGAGAGTAATTAATCTCTTAGCCTTCTCCTTTCTAGGTCAGACACCAGTAATCCATTTTATTTTTTCTTCAAATAACCAGTTTTCTATGGAAGTAATCATCTGTGATAGTGTTCTATGGTAGCACAACATTCTTTTGTAAGATATGATTACATCAGTTGAATATGGTAGTGTAAAATGTGTGAGAGAAAATAGACTGTGGTAAATATGTTGCTTCTATTTCTTGCAGATCAATCTCTTTTAACATTTTGGTGTTAACATATTTATATTTCAGGAGTCAAAGAATAAATATCAGCATTTATAGCAGATGGCTCTGGAATATCCTTATTTGGAGATTTTTTAAAAATTGTGCTAAAATATACATAACATAAAATTTACCTTTTTAACCATTTTAAGTGTACAGTTCAGTAACATTAAGTACATTCATGTTGTGCAACCATCATCACTATCTATCCCCAGAACCTTTTTCATCCTCCAAAACTGAAACTCAATACCAATTAAGCAATTATTCCCCATTCCCCTATTTTCCTAGCCAATGGCAACCACCATTCTACTCTGTCTCTATGGATTTGACTACTCTATCTACCTCATATAAATGGAATTATACACTATTTGTACTCTCTTGACAGGCTTATTTTACAAAACATAACGTCTTCAAGTTTCACCCATGTTGTAGTCAGAATGTCCCTCCTTTTCAAGGCTGTGTAATATTCCACTGTATGCATAGACCACATTTTATTTATTCATTCATATGTTGATGCATCCTTGGGTTGCTTTCATCTTTTGGCTATTGTGAATAATACTGCTGTGAACATAGGTATCCAAATATCTGTTCAAGTCCCTGCTTTCGATTTTTTTGGAGAGTGGATTTGCTGGATCACTTGGTAATCTATGTATAATTTTTTGAGCAACCACCAAACTGTTTTCCACAGTAGCTGCATTAGCGTACATGCCCACTAGTCATCACAAGGGTTCCAATTTCTCCAGGGTCTTGGCGATCTTCAACACTTTTTTTTTCTCTAGATGGAATGATTATGAGTTGAGAAAGACAGGAAGATCTAGGTGACTTTTAAAACCCCACATGTCTTGTCACCTGTGATGCATTGTCTTCAAGAAAGAGCTTAGTGAATAGTTCTTTGCTTGCCCCAAAGAGTTAATAAAACTTTTATTAATACGTGGCTTTCTCTTAGAGAACAGATAACATGCCCAACTTAACCTTTCAATACACATAGCAATATCTCGTTCAATGCATATGCATCCCCAGTTCTGCTATTGATACTATAAGAATGAAGTATCTGGAGGATGGAGAGAGCGTTATATTTATTGGTATTGGTTTGTTCAAATGGAAATAAAAATAGAAGGGTCTTGTCTTGGGTTAATTCCCCCAAAACAGACCCCAACATGAAGATCTGTGTAAAAGTGATTTATTATGAAGTGCTCCCAGGAGAGACCTTTAGGGGAATGGGCGAGGAGGGAAAGAGAAAGGAGGCAAGCCACGCAAGGGTAGCATGTCTAGGGTGCAATACTGTGGAGCCCTGTTTCTCCTCAGAGCCACTTTGGCTCAGTCCTGCACAGAAACTCTAGAGGTAAGTTGGGTTACACCACAGAGTTGTCCCAGTCAGGGGCAAAAGGGCCAGAGTATTCTGCAGCTATTGCTGAGGTGTGATCAGGGATTTCCAGCTCTCCTGTGCATGCAGGCAAAGTGGGTTCTGGCAACCTGGGGCAGCCCCCCAACAAAAAGTCATGGCTATTGTCTGTTGGGATTGCAGCCCTACTGTGCATGTGCGTGAAAATGGTAGAAGGATCCAAGGGGATAGAGCAGAGCACTGTGGCCTCTGCCACAGATGTCAAAAAAAGTGTGTAGCCTGAGGGTAAGAATAGACAGGCAGGGATGAGGGTTGGGTGCCTTTAATGTCAGCCATTTAATAAAAATAACTTGAAGAAAGAACTTTGTATCAAAACTTTATTTATTAAACAAAAAATGCACCATTGGAATAACATTTCTATAAAAAATGAATACGAGACTGTTCTACAGTGATTACAAAACCCCTTTTCCTCGTGTGGTAGTATACAAGATCGAGTGTAGAAACAGTCACCGTTTTAAACTGTAAGCAAGTATCCTTTCTCATAGAACAAGATTTACACTTAAATATTGCAATCACTACTCTAATTTGGTTAACAATGCTAGAGTCTTGACAATTTAAAGAAACTCTTTGTAGGCTCAAAATACCTTTTTCTTTTTTTTAAAGGTGTTTTGTAGCAACAAAAAATTTCTTTTTTCCACTAAGGCTAGTTAAAGCTGTAGTATACCCATTTCTACCAAATAAACCTACCACTAGCACAATAACAGTTTGAATTGCAAAGCCCTTTGAGAGAATGAGTAGCATTGATCTGCAAAATGCTAGCAGACTATTTTAGATTTGGTGTTATCTTGTTTGAATGACCCTGGAAAGGGAGAAGGTGGCAATGATGAAGCTTCAGCGGAGGCTTTGCCTGGACGCATCCTCATACTCAGCAATGGACAATTCATTTCCAAAGTGGTCCCTCTGAGATATGGAACACTGCAGCTTTAATAGCCATATCTAGATTCCCAACCAGATCTCCCTTTTTATCATAAATTATCCAAAAAGAAGCCACTCTAAATAATAAATTAAATATTACTTATAAAAAGTACACCCCGGACCCACCCACCCATCCCCCAAACAAGCTGACAATTCACCAAGGTCAGAATTGTCAGGTTTACCCTACAATAATAAAAAACAGCCCTTCTCCTCCTCTCCAACATTCCTTTCTTGCATCTGAAAATAACACTTTCAGCACACAGTGAGATCCCTTGGCCCATGCATCTGTGACATCTTGCAGAGTTTTGCTGTTGCTGTCCAGCCAACAAAAAAATTATAGGATGACACTGTACAAAGGCTCTCTACTGAGAGCAGGAGAAGAAGTCCTTCAGAGAGTGCGGCCAGAAGTCGCCAAGTGAACGTTACCCAGCGGCGGCAAAGCAGAGCCCAGAAGTGATATTTATTTGCTGATATGGGCATGGTATTTGTCTCTTATTTAACCTCACTGACCAGGAAATAGGCATTTCTTTTCATCATTACCTTTTGGAAGCAGGTATTTGGATAGCAAAGTACACTGAGGCATGGGAATGTGTATTTTTCATTGGAATGGAATATTGCACAAAATATCTACGATTTTCTAAGTAATGTAATTTAAAACAGGGGAACCCCGTGGAAAGCTATTCTGTGCAATAGTTAAGTGATTTCTGAAAGTCACTAGAGAAATAGACACCATGAGTAAAATGTTGCTTTGAAAGTAATTTTAAAAAGAGAGAGATGGCGGATGTGAGTGTGTATGCCTGCTTCTGAAGCTCTGCTATGTTACGGGCTCTGTATTGTATATATGGTTATGAACAGGCAAGGGAGGCTACTCTGGCCTTCAGGATGGTCTGTGATCGTATGAAGTCAACTAGTTGATTGAGGGAGGGAAAGCAACCTTATTCCACATCTATTTGAAAATTCAGAGGATTTTGTTTTCTCTAAACACACCTAAAACTAGGAAATTTTTTCTATTTGTCTCTCTCTTATGGACTAGAGATGGAAATTCTAAAACCATAAGAAGTCTGAGTCTGGGATACAATTTCATCTGAAATGGTAAGGTGATTTCTTTAGAGGTGACATTTTTTTGTTGTTGTTGTTGGAGTGACAGTCCAGCTGCCATATGAAACCCTCTGTTAAATTTGGAGAAGACTTTAGATGTTTCTCTAAACAAAGTCAACAGCCAGATGTATCAAAAGGGTGGATAACAATGAGCAACCATCTTCAAACACAGACTATGAAGGTTTTCCAGGAAAACCTCTACTTAGAGATTCTTTATTGGAGCAGCTGTGAGTGCCAAACTTTAAAGTTTCCAAATATTGATGGGAATGACACACTAATGCTGGGCCACTCTCCTTTTGTAGCTCCTACTGAGGCAGAGGACCTAACATACATGTCATTTCAAGCACCCCATATTTTGAAGAGAAAAATATTATATCTAATCCCTCATGGGAAACTTTAATAAGTTCACCTCTTAAATCTTGATCTGTTTCTCTCCATTTTTTTTCCAGATTGTTCAATTGAGTGTGCATTTTATAATACCCAAATGTGAAATTCCATTGTTTACATATTCTAGAAGGTTATAGCATATTCTACAAAGAGGTTGCTATGACTTTTTTTTTTTTCTGAATATGAATCGCTAAGAAATATTTAACTTTTGGCTAGAGCATCCTCCTGCCTTATGCATTTTGAGCTCTCTGCATTTTTGTGAGTGTCACAAATGAAGAAATTTCTAGAGGAAAGAAAAATAGCTTTCTCATCGGTATGAAATACAAAAGAAAAATACCAGACTTTTTCAAGAGGAGGCTCTTGCCTGACAGTTCAGCCCAATGCAGGGGAGTCCTGAGCATGCCCTGCCAAGTTTTATTTTCTTCTTTTTCAGGGAGAAATGAGTCCTGGTGGCAGAGCTGCTGGTTGGCTGTCAAGCATCGCCCTGCGGGAGTCAGAGAGATTTATGAGCTTAAAGAGCCCTGTATGTTATGAACTAGGCTCGGAGTAAGGAACAAAATAGAGGCTATCTTGCAGTCTTCACAGACTGCTTCTTGTCAAGAGATCAGAAGACTGGGAAATTAAACAGTTACCTGAAAATTTGAGCAGGCAGTTATATACATATGTGAACTCTTTGGCAGAGTGGGGAGCAGAGCTTTACAAAAGTTGTGGCAAAGTCATTGCATATTAAAATCATTGGGAAAAGCACAGGAGAGTCTCTTGAGAGAATTCAAATGGATTCTACTATATCTTCAAGGCATGAAGCAAGACTTACTAGCAATACCAATTACTAAAATAAAGCATTGTATTTCTTTAATGAAGAAAGCTTCAAGAGCATGCACCAGAAATGTACCTCTTGCTGAAAACAAATAATGCATATTTTCATGTAGTTTTAAAAATTTTTATTTATTAAGGTCAGGGACTTTGACTAGAATCATTGAGAATTTTGTGAAGAATGCTATTCTCTTGATTGTCCAGATACAGTCTATACTCAATCTGAAATTTGAGATTTGTAGCCCATTCCAAACAGAGCACTCAGGATGACATTCCTTGGATAACAAATACCATCAGAGAATGTTACTTGTTTATTAGTATTAGAAATAGGGGAGGCATTCTAGGACCTCGAGAGGGTAAAGCTAGCCTAATGAACATTTTCTGAAGTAATGAATTATTTCTGCAAGATTCAACATTATGTTAGGAAATGCCTTGTTCCCGGTCAGTGGAGGGCTGTCTACCCAAGTGTCCAGATTTTGAAGAAGAGTAATCTGCCCCATAGAATAACGTCACATAGCTTTTCAGAAGAACTTCAAGAAAATCTTAGTAAATTGAATAAGCACTCTTGTTGAAGGAACAATTTCACAAATGGACCGGACTTTCTAATGAACCATTTGAACAACCCCTCTCTTTGACATCAGATTTCCTTCCCGACATAAAACTGTAAAAAAATAATCTGAATTATTACTTCTGTTACAGTGCCATTTTGCTCAAAATATTTTATTCAGGGATTCATATATAATTACCCACCTAATAAAAGGAGCTATTAGGTTGTAAAGATCCTATCCCTTCCATGCTCTTTTAAAATTATGACCTACTCAAGCTTGAAATCAAAGAGAGCTGAAAGGAATAATTCAGCTGAAACTCTCTTACTGGGTTTTCAAGTCGCCTAACTGACAAATATGCAAACTAGCTCCCTTTTGGCAATTCAGCTGCATAAACAGGGATTAACTCCAAATGCGGCTGAAAATTTAGAAACTAAAAGGGTGCACACAAAATGTTCTTAATTTCACCTAGTTCCAAGCTGTAGATAAACATGGTGTTAGAAGTTTAAAATTCTAGTTCAATGAAGATGCAGCTCTGGAAGGTATCCACTGGATTTATAATGTGTCAGAAGTATCAAGTGACACCTTGCCCTCTGCTCCTCTCTGACTCTGGGCAGGCGTAGTGTAGAAGGTTCCCTTGACAACAGGGCCTGGTGGTCGCCACTGACCAATACTGCCCCCTCTAAGTCAGTGAGGAGCCTGTTGGAGGAAGTGACATCACTCAAGAACAGGTACCCTTGAAACTGCCTTCCATTTTCCTTCCCTTCCTCAGGGCCTGTTCTCAGGGAGTCTGCCATTTCCACAGAGGGTGACAGGGATGTTGGTCAGGAGGCCAAGCGATGTGTGGAGCCGGCCACCTCGCCCAAGGCTGGCTGCCAAGGAGAACTCAGGGAGGGACAGGACGAAGGGGGGGAGCTCTTCTGGCCCGACTTCTGAGGAAGATGGCTGTGGTGAAGCTTTGAAATGTCATCACAGTGTGATATGGCACAAAAGCCACCCCAATTGAAAAGTGTCCTGTTACAAGCTTAAGCACATAATTACCGTGTGTCTGAGAAGACTGCATATTGTATCCTCTTTCAGGAAACGGATTGCTGCTGGCTGGATGCCCCTAGTTGCAGATTTTTACTTCCCTGTTCTCCAGACATAAATATTAACCAAGGGTGGATTTACAAATACTTGCTAAAATGGGTGAATTTTACCGCCACTGGCTAATAACCACCACTTGTGCAAGATGAATGTCTGAGTTACAAAACATAAGAATTCACTGCCTTTTGTTTGTTTACTTATTTACTCTTTGTGCTGTCAAGAAAACATCCAGTCCTTTGGTGCTATGTGGCAAGAGAATTTCCATGGGTGCTCTGTACTTTGAAGTTGAAAACAAAATAATGAGCTTGCACTGATTTGCCATGGCATGGTACAGGCTTGGATAATGCACTTGCATTTTGTAAGACTAGACCTACACAGAAAGGAAATGACAGGCCTCAATGAAGGAAAACCCAAGCCTTAGTTAGGACAGTGTGGTCACTGCAGTGGCAAAGACCCAGGACTCGGCTAGCAGCTTCAGCCTTGACATTGCAGTGAGGATGGATCTTTGCTTTTGTTTAGGGGCCCCATGGTAACCATTGTGAATTTCCTGATACCTATGAAAGAAGGGATGCTTTTTCCCTCTGAACTGCTTCAGGATCTTCCGTAACTGAGTGGTCCTGATGGTTGACCTGTACACTGGTTAAGAGTTCTTGGACACAGGTGTGCTGCTTATGGGTAATTGGTATGCTGCAAAGTTCCCGGAAAAATACACCTCATCAATTGGGTAAGACGTGTTAAAAGGCCGAGCCTGTGATGGCATTAAGTTGCTTCATTAGCCCTTCCAAGCTTGCCATCTGCTCACTCAAATCATCCTGTTCATACACCTGCAGAAAGAACGAGAACAAAGAGTTAGGACACGTGAAGGGGCACCTGGGTGGCTCAGTCGTTAAGTGTCTGCTTTTGGCTCAGGTCATGATCCCAGGGTCTTGGGATCGAGCCCCGTGTCGGGCTCCCTGCTCCTCGGGGAGCCTGCTTCTCCCTCTCCCACTCCCCCTGCTTGTGTTCCTGCTCTCGCTATCTCTCTCTCTGTCAAATAAATAAATAAAATCTTTTTTTTTAAAAGGACGGGCGAATATCGATACCTCCTTTTATGAAGGCAGTGGCCACATCTAGTTGGTTTACTTTGTATTATCAAGCATGACACAGTGGCCCACAGCCATAGCAAGAGGCTGTGCTCAGAATATAATCACTGAATGAAGATGTTGGTAATAAAAGAGGTAGTGATGAGAGGAATGACTGCATCGTGTTTCACTAACTTCATCCCTGTGTCGAGGAAAAAGCTTTAGAGTAAAAAAAAAATCTCATTTCATATCAAGTTCTACCAGCGTAGAGCTGTGTGGTCTCGGATAAGTTAGTGAGCCTCTCTGATCCACAGCTTTTCTCAGCTATAAAATGATGATGGTCATCTATTTCATAGGCTATTCTGAGCACCTTGTGGCCTGTTTAGTGACTATCACAGTGACCAGCACAGGGTTCATATTCAGTATGTTGCTCCTTTTTCCTTCCCGTAGGTCACCCAGCAGGATCTGAACAGAATGTCTATCACCATGTTCCTTTTTTTCATAACACAACGTACGTACATTTTTGTGAGGGAGTTTGATGGGCTTTGCTTGACCAATGGAAGGTCTGAGGATTATGACTTTAGTTTGTGTGTGGAAAGAAAATTCTCACCCCAAACCAGAGTTGCCTGTATGCACAGTTGTAAAGGCAATATTCTAGCACATTTGACTGGTGGGTACAATGAAGAGGTTGAACTGAGGAAGTCTTGGAAGTCTTAGTGAACATACTCTCTAGAACTCTTACTGGGAGCCACGAGAATCAGGGCATTAGTAATACTGGATCATTAGTTATCACAGAACAGATACCCCCATTGCTGGCCTCAGAAATTCTGACGCAGTTAAGATGGTTACAATCTCTCTCTCTCTCTTTAAAGCTTCCCAAGTAATTTTGATGGCTAGCCAGTGGAGGAAATAAGGCTGTGGTATTGATTGGAATCCCGTTCTTTCATATACTTGCTCATTTTGTGTTGAATGGGAATAACAAGCTTGCCTCATTGGGTAGCTGGGAGGATTCAATAAGTCAGTGTTGGTGGGTATTACCTGCTCAATAAATGTTAGTTTTTCTTTTCTTTTCCAACATACCCTTTATTTTGAATAATACAGACCTGTCCTGCTTGATTATTCTTGCCCATCAATTTGATTAAGTTATTGAAACAATGAGGCCTGAGTCATGATTTCTAGCTCTGAGTAGGATGGAAAGCATTACTCACTACCTGGTCAGAATGGGTATGTAATCCTGCCAAATAAATACCGTTGATCCCAAGAGCATACCACTAGAGATTATATGGGGGGTGGGCACTAACCTACTCTAGCCACTAAGGAAACAGCTCGGAATGCATGATATTAAATATGTTGAAAATGGTACCTTCTTATAGAAATCTCAGCATACCAATGAATGGTCATATACCACATAATCTCCAGAGCTTAATGGGGATTGAAAAGTAGTCAGTTTTGCTCAAAAGACTGGTCTACATATGAAGGGAGAGGTTGAAGGGAGGTGATCAGTTGGTAAGTCATTTCTTAACTGTTGTTTGGTTTTTTTTTTTTGAATTATCTAGCTATCATTGTCCAACACAGCAACCACTAGCAATATGTAACTACTGGATTTCTGAAATGTGACTAGTCTGAATTGAAATGTGTATATATATAAAATACACACCAGATTCTGAACACTTGTACAAAAATGTAAAATATCTTTTTGACAAATTTTTATATTTATTGCATGTTGAAATGATAACATTTTGGAAATACTGGGTTAGATGAAAGATGGTATTAAAATTTAATCTCATTTATTTTCACATCTTTTAATGTGGCTTCTAGGAAATTTAAAATTACACATGTAGTTCACATTATATTTCTATAGGGCAGTGTTGGTCTAGTTTATTTGCCCTATTTCTGTGTATCCTTTAATGTATAATCTTACTGCTTTTAATACTATAGCTTTGACTGTCACTCTTTAGAATCAACCTTAAATACAAATATGGGCCACCTGACATAATTCCTTATGAGATGAGATATATTACATAAATTTAGGAATTTGACCTGACTTGAGGTATGGCCAACAGCCCTGAGACTAAATGAATACTGCAGTCTAAATTTGAACCTTTTTAAAGTATACGAAATGTATATTAATCATATACTTCTGCCAAACATTCACACACAAACACATATCCAGATTCCTTGGTTTCCATGTTGTTAAAATACCTTATGGTTTGTAGTACCAAAAATGATAAAGTCAAGAAAAAATTTATTGTTCATTCAAATGAGATGATTCTAACTTGTTTTTCTCATCTTTTTTTTCTCCCCTTCCACTGTGATTTCTCAAGGTATATGATATGATAGTTCTTTGTTCTCTTTTTAAATGTTTTCTCTTCAAATACATTCAGAAACACTCCAGAGTTTTCTAAATCTCTGCCTTTAGGCAACATCTTTTCAAATATCTTTTATAATGCATTTTTGGGAGAACTCTTAAACTCTCTTTTGCTCTCTCAAAATTTAGATTTTTTTGGTCTCCATTTATTTTCTTTCTGAGTTTTCTAATTTGATCACATTTTAGCTTCTTCCTCTAGTTAGCAAATGTTTTCTCTCAAATAACTAAATTTTCTCCTCTTCTTTTCTTTTTTTTTTTTATTCTTTTGTTAATCCCCATACATTACATCATTAGTTTTAGATGAAGTGTTCCATGATTCATTGTTCGTGCACAAC